CTATGAAGACCCATGGGGGAAAAAAAACCACAGGCAAAAAATAATAAAAATTCAGGACCAAAGACAGGCAAACCAAAGGTGTTTTCTCCTCACAAGTCATGAGGTCAAAGACCTGCCACTGCAGAACATATAAACGGCAGATAGGACTTTTCTCCCTGAAAGTAAAAAAATAATGAAATTACATTCAAAGGTAGCATTAACTAGAACAAGCTGCTCTACAGTGACTGTGCAGAGTGTTGCAGATTATGGTTAGTCTGACAACATACGCTGTGATAACAATGAGCCAGTCTTTCAGGAAATGTCAAAGGGTCTTGATTTTTCTGCCCAAAGGTACTGTATCTGAAGTTCTCAAGAAACCTGAAGACTCTCAAGCAGATTGCAAGCACTGTAGCAAGGCGTGGGAGTAGGGATCAAGCAATACCTAGAACTAACAACACCCATGTGATATGGCAGAAACAGGTTGTTAGCTGTTATCAGAATGGCAATGCAGATAATGCAGGAGGTGGAATTTGGGTATTCTAAAGCAGTTCTCCTGACCACAGGACTGACTAGCTTCATGGAACAATAACCCCCTAGTACTTCAGGAGAGTGATGATCAGCACTTCTGACATCAACTGTAACAAGCAATGCTTCAGAGACAGTGCTAACCTGCCACAAAAGATTCTGAAAATGGTCTTCCACCTCCATAAATCAGCAGCTCACCACTTACCATCAGGAAACAGCTGCCCCAGTAGATGTGCGTAATGAAAGCTTACAACTGCACCAACACTGCTAGTGTTATATTTTTAACAGGAAATCCAGCATTTATGCCTCACTTAGAAAGGCTGTAGTTAGTACAAATGGTGATTGCATGGCCAGTGAGTGGGCTATAAGGATGGCACAGCTTTTCCTGTCATGATTCCTGACCTCTTCTCTGAACGATTGTTGGAGCTCCTACGTACTTATGGGTTGACCCCGGCTGGATACCAGGCACCCACCAAAGCCACTCTATCAGTCCCCTCTGCAACTGGAAAGGGCAGAGAAAACATAACTAAGAGTTTATGGGTTGAGATAAGGCCCAGGGGAGAGCAGTCATCAAATACCGTCACAGGCAAAACATACTTGAATTGAGGATATTAATTAAATTTATTATTAGAAAAAATCAGAGCAGAATAATGAGAAGTAAAATAAATCTGAAAACCACCCTACCCCCATCCTTTTCTCCCTCCCAAGCTCTACGTCCTCCCCCACAAGTGGCGCAGGGAGACACGGAGTGGGGGTTATGGTCAGTTCATCACAGGTTTCTCCTGCCACTGCTCAAGGAAAAGTCTTTCCCCTGCTTCAGCTTGGGGTCCCTCCCATGGAATACAGTCCTCCATGAATTTCTCCAATGTGAATCCATTCTACAGGCAACAGTTCTCCACAAACTGCTGCAATGTGTTCACTCATCCACAGGGTCCAGTCCTTCAGGCACAGGCTTCTCCAACATTGGTCTACTAGAGTCACAAGTGCTACCAGGAAACCTGCTTTGGCATTGGCTCCACTCTTGTCAGGTCTGTAGGTCTCTGCCAGAAGTTCTCACAAGTTCACAGCCCTCTCTCAGGCATTCACTTGCTCCAGCATGGGATCCTCCACAGGCTGCAGATGGATCCCTGCATCCGTGTGGTCCTCCATGGGCTGCAGGGGAATTTCAGCTCCATTGCCCAGAGCGCCTCCTCTCTTACCTTCTCCACTGGCCTTGGTGTTTACATAGTTGTAACTCTCACTCTGCTCCTCTCTGGACGCAATTTCAGCTGCACAATAACTCTTTTTCCTTCTTAAATACGTTATCACAGTGGTGTTACTACCATCCTGATTGGCTCGGCCTTGGCCATTCGTGGGTCTGTACAGGAATCAGCTGGCATTGGCTCTGCTGGACATGGAAGAAGCTTCTAGAAGCTTCTTCCTGAAGCCACCCCTGTAGTCCCCTGCTACCAAAGCCTGGCTACACAAACCTAACGTAATTCTACAGTAAAGCAAAGGGAAGAGGTGCACGATAAATCATTTGATGCATATGATGCAAGTATGTGAGGCACAGCATGAATATTAAATATGTTAAACAGAGGACAGGGGTACAAACCCCTTTGTTTGGTTCGATTGTTTCTTCCACAAAGAATTTTTTCTCAAGATTTTTTTACATTTAAGAAACATCTCCAGAAAGTTCTCATGTCTGTCAGTTTTTTATGGCTTTGACCCAATAGAGCACTTTGAGTATGAATAGCAGCCCTGGACTTTGTTCTGTTTCCCTAAAAATTCTTAAAGTGGGATCTAACCTGTCTAACTTAGTAGCCTTGTCTAATTCTAGCCCAACCTTTAGGAGAAAAATGAAGTGACCTCCTTAAAAGCTTGAGGTCCTCACTTAGTAAAAATAGATGGTAAACCCACTAAATGTTACTCAAGGAAGATTATGTGTAAGTTTCGAAAAATTTAAGCAATTAATTAGGAAGACAGCATCTCCCTCTGCAGGACTTCAGAGACACCTCTCTCTGGTTTCGCACAGGAATTACATGTGTTTTTTCTAGAAGAGCTTTTAGATACTTAGGCAGTGACAATCTGGATCCCCCATTTCAGTAGTTTCAGATCGATCCCACTCCATTAATTTCAGTGATTATAATCAAGCCTTGCCAGGTTAGTGACTACAAGAGGAAGCATGAGCTGATGATCAGAAGGTGTAAAAGAGAAGTGTCATAGTAGATTAGTTGTGTTACTGCTCTGCTACTAGTCTATCCTGTGCCTTAGACAAATCACAACATTATCCTCATTTTATGTAAGGAAAAAAAAGCATTATCAGCCTTTTGAAAAATATTGAACTATATTGACAACTGTTGTTATTATTACACACATCTGGCCAAATTTTGAGGAAGCCACAGAATAGGAAATAGCAGAGCTTGTCAGGCTGACAAGCTCCACTGTGAAAAGTAGTGTCATAAAAGCAAAATGGAACACTTAAACTTTAGAAGGTTTAATAGGCAATAATTAACCTTACTCCTCTTTTTCATATGTACAAAAGAAAGATCAAACACCTTTAATAGACTATCAGGACTTGCTTTTGCTTAAAATCCAGAGAACTAAAAGGCGTTTTCTGTGAAAGTACTGTTCTTAAAGTTCTTAAAGCACTTTGAAATTAAATGGGTTATTTTAGTTCTGTACAGTTCATCCATAAATTTTATTTCAATATAAGCATTTCCAGTTTTACCATGAAAGCTAAAAATGGTCTTTTATGAAAAAACTTTCTGGTGATAGAGAGAGGTTGTATGTCAGAAGAGCACAAATTAATGTTAAAATGCAGTCTGGATTCTTCTATTTATAATAGATGAAAGTGGAAATCAGAGAAAGAGAGAAATCTATAGTTTGTTTACATTTTTTTTTCCAGCAGTGTATACCTGAAAGTCAGATTCATTACCTGTCCCACACTCCTTTGTACCTGCAACACTTCTTCTCCATCTCAGTTACCAGGACATCCCCCAGAGGCCTGCCTGGATAGGTGATTCAAAACAGCATTTACACTGTGCCCAGCTAGCAACAAAATCACGTTCTATAGCATTCTTTGTAAGGTTCTCAAACCTTTCTGGCCTGGGGCTGCCTACAGTGCGCCATTCCACCAGCAGAAGGCTCCCTAACCTACCGAGAGCCGCGGGAGCATCATCCCTGAGCGGCGCCGGCGGCGGGGGCAGCGGGCAGCGCCCGGACTGCACAGGGCAAGGAGCGGGAGACAAGCACGGAGAGGGAGGAGGCAACAGCCCACACACAGGGAACACAACGAGGGATCTCTGCAGGACGCTTTATCGCTCCCGCACTCGATTATCCAGTAACCATTATCCGCTGATTGTTTGCTTTTGTTTTAATGCTTAAGGCAACTGTGTCTAGCATAGTGCCTCTTTTTACTTTTGCCTTTCAAATGCATTCTCGGTTACTCAGCGTGCAAATATTTGCAGGAGTCTAGCAGTTGACAGGCTTGTATCAGTTTCATCTCCACATATGGTATGCCCAAAGTATGGGGTATATGTTGATGAGAACTTCAGTGACATTCTCAATACGGCTGATTATCCTAAAAGCCGTCCTACTTGATATTTGTATGTTTTATTAACAGCTGAAGTACAGAGGGCTGAATTAATCTCTGTGCCAAAAGCTAGTTTCGTCTCAGATCACAGAAAATGAAATTCAGTTGTGCATTTCTTCTGCCTTTCTTCTGCACTGCAAGAGAGCAAGTTATGGCAGCCTTGAGGATTCCTCTGCTTTCCAGGGCCATAGAGGACCCTCCAGCAATCCTCGGGACTACGAAGTACTATGAACTGCAGCAGCACAGAGAAATGTCTGTCAATATACTTTCATGCCCCCCAAAACCTCACTCTGCTGACAGTACAATGGTGGCCACTTCAAATCTACTCTAGCTAAAAAATGCCTTTACACTCCTGTGAGTTACTTATGGAAGCTTTACAGCTCATTTACGTAAAGCAATCATGAGCCACAGATGAATCAGGCTAAAAAAAAATGATTTGCAAAAGGCCACACAGTAAGCAGCAGGGAGGACATGAACCAGGGACTAAGAGCATGCTCTATTGTGCTTGGTTTTGCCAGTGCAAAAAAACTATTCCGGTGCACAAAATAGACCATTTCCCCTGCTCCAAACCTCAATAAAGAGACAAAAAAAGTCCTGTCTTACAGATGCCTAACAAACCGACCTGCATGTCTGACTTTCAAAACTTTATGGAAAATTTTAACTTTCTTTTGCTGACAAAATTAAAAAGCATCTTTTTAAGAAAACCTTATAGTCTCCCTTCTTGGGAGGAAACTTTAATGTAATGTAAACTTCGAAGTGAACCTTGGGTTTGTTACAATGGACTAACCTGATTAGAAATCATGCAAACTCTTGCTGCTCTTTAGCTGCATTCCCCCACAGGCTGTATTACAGCTCTCTAACCAGTCCCACAGCATTGAATGATGTCATGGGATCTGCAGCTCAGCGAGATGAAAGGGATAAAGCGGAACCCGCTGGCACTGGGGAAAGCTTCCAACACACAATCCACAACACAGCTTGGGAACTCAAAAGCTACAGATCTAGCCACTCAACCCCAAGCATTTCAGAACCGTGTGCATTCTCACAGCACAAGCAAGGAAAGGGGGAAAAGAGCTAGTGCGGAGTACTGAAAGACAGAATTTAAAAGTGCAACTACCTGCTGGAAAAGCAGCTCTTTTTCTTCGCCAAAGCACTGCCTTTGATGTACGGCAACTGATCACTGATCAGATTACAGGCATTTGGTCTCAGTGCTCGTCTGCCTTTGATCTGCATGGTTAATTTTATTTTCCCGGATTTGGAGTTTCGTCTGGGCTTGTGCTGACATACTTTTTTTTTTTTTTTTTTTTTTTAAGGAGGTAAAAGCATTTAATACAGAAGCTCTGGCAGTGTGAAATTAAGCTGAAGAAAGTCTGGCACTGGAAAACTTCATCAGATAACAGGTACTGGATTTTATATTTTTTTTGCAGTTTTGTGTTGCAGGATTTTAAAAAAATAAAAAGCTCACGCAACCAATAATACTACATATCATTTTGTGTACAAAGGTCAAAAGATTTTATATAATTTATGTGGCATTTTATTTGCAACTCTTAGGCAGAACTATATTGAGAACAGACTATCTAGAATACATAGACAACTTAAAACTGAAGCAAAATCAAAAAAAATTTTCAGTGTTTTGGGGGTACCTAAGATTTTGGTGTACACTACTCATTCTTACTGTCTATAGTTTTGTAATTTTATATTTGAATACAAGTATTACATGTCTAGGGTGTGTATTTATTTTCTAAGGAAAGACCAACCATATTTCCTACACACTGTAGTACTTTGTTTGCTCTCAGTGAATTTATTAAAATGTGACTTCTTCAAGCAACACTTTTAAGCCAAATAGTTTCATATTTGAGATGAAAAAAAAGTCACAGCTTCCACAAGTTACTAGAAATAAATTTATAAACATCCTTATACACAAAAGGAAATATTTTATTTTGATTGAAGAGATGATAGTTCAACTGTACCATATGAAAAGAAATCTTGAAAATAAAATCAACAGTTTAACTTGATAGAAATTTCCTCTAAGACATTTTAATAAATATATTAAAAGAAATCTTGGGTTTGTCTAAAGAAAACACCTGGCTTTACTGAACTTTGTAAAAGTTTTGCTTCATTTTAGTGATGCAATTTCTACTCATGGTGTTTTGCATTCTCTTCCTTGAATTCATATTTATGAAAATGTACTGTGTTTAAGAAATTTTAAGATATCTACTCCAGAAATTCATTATAAAGGACCAATCATTAGAAGATTTAGGAATATTCACTATATATTTGCAATTTCAAAGGGTGTGAGTTTGGGCCAAATCCATGAGTGTTCTGTGCCTGCAGCTGGAGTCAGATTGTTAAAATAAGACTCAAGTTTCTTCTGTAGGTATTTAAATATAATTTATATTTTCAGAAGAACTTAAAACCCATAATTGGGACCAGACTTGCAAAGAAGTTTAACATTCCAGACACTGAGCTCTTTGAAGATCTAGTCTTAATGGTGGCTAGTGAGGTCTTCTGAAATACTGACATATATTCTTGAGTCTAAACTTAAATGTACACAAATCTTAACTACATGTGTTTATCAACAACTTGCAACTAAAATTCAGCATAACTGATAGGTGCTAAGCATTATTTGAACACTATTCTTTGACAGGTTTATCAGTCCATAGGACCCTCAAGATGTTCATATTTCAGTATGCAAAGATGTTCGTATTTCAGTGTGTACCATTGTAAACATGCAAACCCAAATTTTAACAGTCTGCTTGCATCTGAGTAAGAACAAATTATCAACACTTCCAGATAAATGTAGACAGCTTTCATTAGCCAGTCTGCAAAATCTGTTCCTTCTAAATAAATTTGTATATATGAATTTTAAATTTACTGAATATCAAGAGATAATAAGCCAGACACAGATTAACTAGGCCTGACTTGGTACCATTTAGTTTTCTATGCCACCAATTAATTCATACTCTTACTTAACAAGTCAATTACATTATAAAGAAAGTAATTAGCACTGCATGAATAATATGTGTATAGCTGTCAAGAAAGAATATCATTTAAGGCATAGCCAAAGCAAAATGCAGTATTTCTCCCTAAATAATAATGATGTACTAAAACATGTTTCTGTAACCCTGAAAAGACGACTTTATCCACTAATCTATACTACACTGATGAGCTCCTCTGCTTTTCCAGTCTTCTCTTGCTTGTTGCTTGTTTTCCAATATGTACATTTATTTTCTGAGGAAAATTGTTTCTATACCTTACCTCTGTTTGGTGTAAAGTAGAAAGAAAAACAAATTTTAAAATGTAATGTAAGGATTCTTTTTCCTCAGAAGTCAAAATAGCTATGCAAATCTAATACAACTATCACTACAAGGATCTGACCCATCACACAAAAAGTGTACAGAAGTAACACTGGTTAATCAGATATATTACACTGCTGAGTAGGATTTGCATATAAAAATATTTGCAACATTTGGGCCCTGGAAATGCATTTCAGAAACAAATAAATTTTTCATTTTGTAAAATGTCCCTAGGATTTTAGGTAATCTCCCCACATATTTAAACAAAGATGGGCGTTAACCCATTTAAACTGAAAAGTATCTTTGCTTGGCTTTATGTAAGTGAGGCTGAAATGAAAGCACACTTGAACATATTTAAGTATGGGGGGAGAAGAGGATTTTCAGCATTTTTGTTGTTTTAAACAGCAGTTCTCTGACAGTTTAGTCTGTCATTGATCTGATTTTTAAAGATTAAATAGTAATAATTCTTGGCACTTGTGACTTTGCTTTTACAAAGTGCTGTATAAACATTAATTAATCCTCAGGCTTAAGTCTTCAGAAACAAAAAGTTCACAACGTTTTTTCAAGCAAATCTGACTAGGAAACTTGCAAGTTTATAATTTGTTTATTAAAATAACTTGAGCAATTTCTGATTATAAACAGAACATTTCCAAATAGTGTGTCTTAGATAACATCATAAACATATTTTAAGGTTTGTAATAGTTAAGACTATCAAAAGACATTGCACAGTTATACTGACATCAGTTTCCAACAGCTGTCATAACAAGAGTAGATCTATCTCACAGTTGACTGGGGGAACTGTGTTAGCATTTGAGATATGGAGATAACAACTTCCTATTGCTGTACAATTTCTGCTTCCACATCAGATATGTCACGCAACTTAGTCTTATCAAAGGGGTCAGCTGAAACTACTTTCCAAGTATTTCTTTTCTGCTTTCTCTGTTGTAGTGAGAATCTCTACACTAGTTCCTCTAACAGCTGACTCCTTCAATTTCCTTAGAAGCACCATGATTTAAAACAAAATAAACCCTGCAATTTTCAAAATCTTTCAATGATGAATGGAATTAACTCATCCATTTTACATTTAGAGGAAAGATTTTATATGCCACGACAAGGACTTAAACATTTAACTTTCAGTATTACAGACTACACTTTGCTCTTAGTTCATCAGCATAGTAACTCACTGTCTGATGAGGAAGTCCTAATGTTTCTTTATATGGTAATCCTCAGTGTTTAGCCAACACTTTAGGAACTCTGGGATATTTTAATACACTTGTTTAACTATACTACTTTAAACTACTATCTGAAACATACATGATGATTCTACTAAGAAAACCTCATGCAATACATTTCACTGGTGGCTCCAGAAAACAGATAACATACAAAACAGTTGTCTGTAAACAGCAAGACATGCATAATGCTCAGTGCTGTGCAGCAGCTGCCATTCACAACAGATGCGCTGCTGTTGTGCCACAGTATGCCATTCCTCACTGAAATTCCAGCCTCTTGCAGAGCTCCTTCTGGCAAGGTTCCTGAAGTCCTCTTTGAAGGCCATTTATAAGATAATTACATGAAAACCCCTGCACATTTTCAGTTGTTTGGGGTTTTTTAATTGGAAATTATTAATTTTGCAGCAATCATTTATCTCTTTGCATACCTTTTGTTGTACTTCAATTAGCACTCCTTGTTTTTATAGAAGTCCATGTGGCTGGCAATCTTCAAAATTTTACCTGTAAGAAGCTCAAAAAATTCTGCTTATTTGAAAATGCTTTACCGCTAAGCATAGGAACTTGTTCATTCTCTTCAGAACCTAACTCAGTTCCTTCTGTGTCCATACAATTATCTAGACTGTAAGTGGATCATTAACCTTTTCATTAGAAGTAAAACTAGTGATGTGAAATCCCTGCAGTAGCAATTCTTTCACCAAGATCTCCAAGACTGGTTTCACCAACGTTGGAGATTCTCTAACTTCAGGAAAGTTCCTGATTTGTGTCGCAGTAAGTAGAAGCAAAGTACACCCTTTCTAGTGACTGTGAACAATTTGCTATCCATGAAGGGCTGGATTTCTCTGTTTCTTCATGGATACTGACATTTGGTATCGACACTATGCTTACAGCTGAGTGACTTGTTACCTGCAGAATGGAAAAATACTTCAGATTTTGAGCTAGCAGGGGAAAAAAGCTACTCAAGTATGTTGGAGAGTTTGCAGAAAGGAGAGTTTGTAGGAGTTTATTTGCAGTGTGTTGTCAGAAAGCCTCCATCATGCCTTTTGGGTGGGAGAGGTGGAAAGGGCTTCATTGAGTTTGAAGACTCATTCTACATGCACTTTCTGAATGGTGGCAAAGGGCCAGTCCATTTAAAACCAGCCCAGCAGCCAGAGGCTAAGCAGCCATTCCCGCTCTGCTCTGCACTGGGATGGCCTCACCTTGAATCCTGTGTGCAGTTTTGGTCTCTGCAATATAAGAAAGTTATTAAGCCATTAAAAAGCGTCCAAAGGAGGGCAATGAGGATGGTGAAAGGCCTTGAGGGGAAGCCGTATGAGGAGTGGCTGAGGTCACTTGGTCTGTTCAGCCTGGAGTAGACTGAGGGGAGACCTCATTGCAGTCTACAACTTCCTCATGAGGGAAAGAGGAGGGCAGGCACTGATCTCTTCTCTGTGGTGATCAGTGACAGGATCTAAATGAACAGTCTGAGGTTGTGTCAGGGGAAGCTTAGGTTGGATATTAGAAAAAGGTTCTTCACCCAGAGTGTGGTTGAGCACTGGAACAGGCTCCCCAGGGAAGTGATCACAGCACCAAGCCTGACAGAGTTCAAAAAGTGTTCGGAAGATGCTCTTGGGCACATGGTGTGTCTCTTGGGGATGGTCCTGTGCAGGGCCAGGGGTTGGACTCAATGATTTTTGTAAGTCTCTTCCAACTCGGCATATTCTGTGATTCTGTAATAAGTTCTGAACTCCCGCTGAAGGAGATCAGCAACATCAGAGTTGCAGCCTCCAAAGCCGCGGCAGCCTCAGCACACAAGGATGCGCGAAGCAAGTCCCTGCTATCCCATTCTCCTGGTGGGATAGAAAGGGCACCAGCGCCTCATTTGTCATTCATGCCGGC